AACTCATTATGCGTCCTTTAATCCTCCTCACGTGCGGCACTTATACGCATTTCTGTTTTGTTTGAGCTCCCATTTATGGGCAGACAGTGTGCCAACATCCCCCATGAACAGGAGCGCAAGGCACTTTGAGCTGTTTACAGCTCACCAGCGGGCCGTAATGGACCCAGTGGGAGTCCGGCCTCTATGCAATTGAGTAATCAGATTGTAACAGAGCTCTGTCTCACAGTTATCTGCTTATCAAGGGGATGCGCATGTGTCGTATGTGGCTCCAGAGGCTTTGGGATTTTCTTTTAGTTGCAAATATTTGAATGAAATCAATGCTTGGGATTTTTTTAATTAATCAAATATCTATCAGAAATCAAAGGAACCTTCTTAACCTCCTGTTTTAATTGAGTTGATTTAAAAATATATGTCTTAGGTACTGGGATCCCGGCCCCAGAGCGGACCCCATCGAGGACCAGAGGTACCTGTGGGGTGGCTTTGCGTACCTGCAAGACATGATCGAACATGGGATCATCAAGCTTCACACCGGAAATGACTGGCCACTGGGGGTTTACGTTCAGCAGATGCCATATCCTTGCTACGTCGATGACCTGTGAGTTGACCCATCAGTGCTTTGGCTACTGTAATAAAGATATGCAGACGGGTTTCCTGAAGTACTGAGGATTAATTCCTTCACATAGATCATATCTAAGAGTTAATTACTTTGGATAAGACAGGTGAATTTTAAGCCATCTTCAGTGATACAGCTGATGTAGGCGACTGTGGCTCTGTGGGTAGAGTAGTTGTCTTGTGATCGAAAGGTTGTAGGTTTGATTCCTGCTTCCTGCTGCCCCATGTCGATGTGCCCTTGTGCAAGGTACTTAACCCCAAATTGCCTACCGATCAGTGTATAAATGTGTGAGTGCTAATGGGCGAATGTGACTCTAGTGTAAAGCGCTTTGAGTGGTCAAAATGATTGGAAAAAGTGCTAACTAAGTTCAGTCCATTTACCATTTAAATAAACTAGTTAAACGATTTTTTTTAAATGTCCTCACACGGATAAAAGTGTTTTCAAGTTTCCTTCTGATACTTCTTAACATCTAGATAAATAATCCCTTCTGCGGTTTTGTTTTCGGTAACCTTCTGTCACTTTTTGTCTTTTTCTATTCTGCTGTTTAGCAAATTCAGATAATTTTGTTAGTCCTAACTGACCTGAAATTGAGAAAGTTTAGTCAAATTCAATGTCAAAAAGTAAAAATAGGAGAAAAAAACGTTATGTTTTAACACAGTGCATGTAAACACCTGGTGTATGCTGTATATTTTATTACGTATGCTGCATATTCCGATTATAAAATGTTTTCTGACCACAGTCCAGGTTGTTCTGTTATTCTTTTGTGCATCTAATTATAAATCTTTTTTAATTTCTTGTTTCATTAAACGCTTTAGTGTATTGAACAATTCCAGTGAACGTTTGTTTTCCTTAAGCGTTATAAGATGTTCTTTGTTGTGGAGAGACAAAATCATCTCAGATAGACGGATTTTGATATCAATTTTTCTGCTTCACTTGTTCCGCAGCTTCATGATCACATTGAACCGCTGCTTCCCCATGTTCATGGTCTTAGCCTGGATTTATTCAGTGTCCATGACTGTGAAGAGCATCGTCTTGGAGAAGGAGCTGCGTCTCAAAGAGACCCTCAAAGCCATGGGGGTCAACAACGGCGTCATTTGGTACACATGGTTCATCGACAGCCTCATCATCATGACTGCAAGCACGGCGCTGCTGACGGCCATCATAATGGTGAGAGGACGCTTGGTGAAAAGTGGAAATTTCATTCGTTTGTTTTGAGTTCTTTTCTTAAAGGGAGTAATGCTGCCCTCTTGTGGGCAGTATTAGAGTGAAATATGTTTTAAAATATGTTTTTTTTTTTTCTCTTGCAGGGCGGAAAGGTGCTGAATTATAGCGACCCACTCCTTGTTTTCTTCTTCTTGCTGATTTTCACTGTGACCACCATCATGCAGTGTTTCCTGATGAGCGTGTTTTTCAACAAAGCCAACCTGGCTGCTGCCTGCAGTGGAATCATCTACTTCACCCTCTACCTGCCTCACATCCTGTGTTTTGCGTGGCAGGACCGCATCACCAGGAACATGAAATTGGCGGCAGTATGTTTGGTTATTATTCTTGATACTGTTTTTTTTTTTTATTTAAGGTGTTTTGCAAACTCAAGAGAGCGTAGGAGGTATTTCTAAACCATTCAGTCTTTCCTTTGGCTGACTATGAACACACATCTCATGGCTAAAAGCTTTCAGAAACACCTGCAAGAACAGAACTAAAGATAATTTATGCCGTTTGGTTTAAATGTGTCAAACCCATTCCTGTAGGATCAACAGACATTTTAGTGTCACTTCTGAATTAGTGTTGTTTGTGGATCCTGTTTGCTTTCCTAGAGCTTGCTCTCTCCAGTGGCTTTTGGCTTTGGGACAGAGTACCTTTCACGGTATGAAGAACAAGGTTTGGGTCTACAGTGGAACAACATTCAGACCAGCCCATTAGAGAAAGACACTTACTCCTTCCTCACCTCCATCCTCATGATGGTGTTTGATGCCGTCCTCTATGGAGTCCTGGCCTGGTATCTGGACAACGTCTTCCCAGGTCGGAGTCCTAATACTAAGCACTGCACCGTAACAAACTTATTTGGATTTTAGCAAATAATTTTTGCTTTACAGGACAGTACGGCATCGGTCGACCGTTCTACTTCCCTCTCCAACCCTCCTACTGGCAGAAACCTGCACCGTCGTATCAAGAAACGACCGATCAAGGTTGGTCTCCTGTGGAAAATCTGTTTGAGAGCTGTACTACTTTTCTTTAAAATGATGAAGGACCTATTATTTGATCTAGTAGATCATATTTATTTACATAGAGTTTAAGCCTTAAGGTCGTACCTCTTAGAAAAAAACCCTTAGAACTTGTTCCCATTCTGTCACATTTACATTTCAATGTATTTTCTTAGGATTTTATGTGGTAGAGCAACACAAAGTAGTGCAAGTTGAATAATAAGTGATTTATTTTTAATTTAAATTACTGCTGTAAATAATTTGAAGCAACTCCTTGCACATTTGGAGTTTAAAAGCTCCTACTGTTGCTTGGAAAAAAAAAATATATATATATATGTATATTTTTTTTTTACAAAGTAGTGTCTAATTAGATCACATTTGCAAGGATGCACACATACAGAAATACATGGTGTTAGTCAAAAACAATTAATATAATTTATTATATAATGTAAATGCAAGTACAATGTTGTAGGACAAATCATCATATTTCCGAGCCAGGAATCCATTATTCAGGGACCTTTACTGGAGTTTATCTTACCCAACCAGATTCCAAGAAACTGGAAGCAGAGAACCAGGAGCTGGACGTTGAGAGCAGAGGCACGCCCGAGACTTATACCTGCAATGGCTCTGCCAGCAAGAAAACCTGCAAGCACCAAAGTAAGAGAGAGCGCCTGGAGAGAGAAAGGGAGCAACAACAACAACTGAAACAACAACAGGAAAATCCAGTCCAGGAGGAGGAGGATCCGAATGCTGGGAGTGAAGGTGAGAAATAAAAACCCCAAAGAGGAATCAGACTTCTGTTGGAGAACTCTCTGAAGCCATCTAGTGGACAGAAAGGGGAACTGCACAACAGCATGAAGGTGAAATGAGACTTGCAAAGGAGTATAATTTAAATAATCTTTTATAGTTACATTTTATTTCAGTGAAGATAAAGGTTTCTATTGTTCTAAGAAACTAAAATAAGGAAACTTCAGCTGATCTGAAACTGAATTTCTTCCCAAGAGATGAATCAAATCATGCTCTGATTATTTCCAATGCAGTTTTGTAAATGCTTTCATCTTTTTCTTTCTCTTTTTCCTCCGTACAGGTCCGGTGTTCTTTGAGCAGGATCCCCTGGGCCTGGTGTTGGGCGTGCAGATCCAGGATCTGGTCAAGGTGTACGACGGCAGCTCTCGTCCAGCCGTGAACTGCCTCAGCATCTGTTTCTACGAAGGGCAGATCACATCCTTCCTGGGGCACAACGGGGCTGGAAAAACAACAACACTGTAAGCACATTTTTCAATCAGATATGAAAAACTAATACGTAGACTGATCAAAATATCATGAGAATTTATCAGACTTATAAAAATCCATCCTTTCTTCCTCTCTTATTCGGTTTTTAAGGAAGTTACCAACTCCCACCCACCTCTTTATAGGATTAATATGGAAATCTATTCTTTCCAGGTCCATTCTTACTGGTCTCTATCCTCCCACATCCGGCACAGCCTACGTCAACGGAAGAGACATTAAGACAGACATAGACATCATCCGTACATCTATGGGCATGTGCCCTCAATACAACATCCTCTTCAATCAGTGAGTTGGATCATTTGCATTTCATTGCAAAGATTATTCATACTCTGAACTTTTAATTTTTTTTTTCCTGCAACAGATCTCCTGTATATTTAATGATTTTGTCTGATAGACCAACACAAATTAGGGCATTATTGTGAACTGGGAGGAATATGATGAATGATTATCAAGATTTGTTGCACATTGTTTATTCCACATGCATAAAGCTGCACAAGAAACTTCCCATCGTGATTGTTCTTTACAAACGACAAATAGTTCTTGAAGACTTGCCCAGGTTAAACCATTCCTGCAACACTTTATTCTATTCTTTTCTCAAAATGATGGATTCCTGCGCCATGTTGGTGTTCCAGTCTCACGGTGGAGGAGCACATCCTGTTCTACTCGCTGCTGAAGGGACGGGCTCCAGAGGAGGCTCAGGCCGAGGTGGAGAACATGCTGTTGGACCTTGGCCTGCCTCAGAAGCGAGACGAAGAGGCTCAGAACCTTTCAGGTCTGACACTTGTGTCTGTTTATGGGTCAGAAAAGGACAGAGAAGGTCAATTTATTTGATCCCTCTCGTTACTATGTGTTTCTGCACTTTACAGGCGGTATGCAAAGGAAGCTGTCTGTTGCCATGGCATTTGTTGGAGGATCCAAGGTTGTCATTCTGGACGAGCCCACCTCGGGAGTGGACCCGTACTCCAGAAGGTCCATTTGGGATCTCCTGCTGAAATATAGATCAGGTGAAAATCACTAATTCGAATTGCACTTTACAAATTTTAGTCACGATTTTACCACTCAAGACATTTTCTAAAGCTTAAGCTGAATTTAAAGAATGAAACAAACCTTTTTGGCATTTTACAAACACTCCCTAATTTGGTAGTGAACTTTCGAAACTGTAAAACTATCATTCATAGCTGCTGAAGGAAAAGAAGAAAGTAGAATTAAAACAATTTATATTTATATTTCTGTTACGTTTTTAACAGAAATGTGTGTCACCTTAGTGAAAGTTTGGTCCTTGTGCAGGCCGCACCGTGATTCTGTCTACACATCACATGGATGAGGCCGACCTGCTGAGTGACCGAATCGCCATCATCTCCAAAGGACAGCTTTACTGCTGCGGGTCCCCCCTTTTCCTCAAAAACTGCTTTGGAGTCGGCTTTTATCTAACACTCGTACGCCGCATGAAGGACATCAGGAAGCGGGAGGTGTGCAGCGCCTGCAGACAAAGAACAGGGTTTCCTCCTCTTCTGTCAGCATATATGCATTTGTTGTTGAAAGTGCCCGTGTCTTTCCGTGTTTCTGTCAGAATGAATGCGACTGTGCTTCAGACTGCTCGTGTTCCTGCTCCATCTGCACCAAATACAAAGATCAGTCTCAGAATCAGCACCAGCAGCTAGACAGAGTTCTGGAGGGTAAGTGTTTGTGTTCTCTGTCAGCCTTTCATCTGCATGCTCGCAAGCAACACTTCCTGCAGAAGTTGCATTTGCAGTCAAGTCTGTCCTTATTTGTTGTAAAAGACATTATTGTGCTATTCTTTGCCTTTCCTTGTCTCTGCTGTTAGACAAAAGTTGTTTAGCAAAATAAGCTGAAGGCATTAATGTAACTGGAAATCACGATGGTTTTCTTTTTTAAATGTATACATTGTTTTCAAAACTATTCACAGATAAACCCGTCCCAGGGTTCTTAGTGAGAGAAAGACTCAACCGCTTGTTCCTTCTGTATTTTCTGCCAAAAACAATAGATTTTGGGTGCAACAAAACTTTGTGTTTGTAAGAGCATTAGCTTTCAGTTGATTTTATAACATTAAAAGAAAAGGTGACAGGATTATTATGAAGCCTCAAGTTACCAATCGGGTCCCCACAAAGACTGCAGCCACTGAACCACACCTTGTGCAGGAGCTCACATTTACTTTGAGATGATGTTTTTGCTTGTTGTTCTATGCTTAAAAAAATCTAATACTAAATGATAATAAACAGCCATCTTGGATTCTTGGAAAAAAAAAACCTGATAAGTGCTACCTGTGATATTTAGTCCTCCACTAGAGGGCGGAATATCTCGGATGTGTGTCATTTGGTTTCATGATGCTACAACTAACCCACATTTGACCCCAGCAGTCGCCTTGAATTGTGCTCAAGAAATAATCTTAGATCCTTTAACAGTTTTGAACATGAAGACAGGTTAATAAAGGTACAATCAGACCTCTTGCATTTTTATGAAATTTTGCTGGTTTAATTCAGATTAATTTGTTTTCTGTATGGAGAGAAGTAGCACTATGAACCAATATATATTAAGAACCCCTTCTGTCCACAAAAAGGTGGTGTCTACTCAGGTAACAATGTCCTCTAATGTCTCTCTTGTACACTCTGAGGCACATAAAAAAAATGCTAACCCTTATTGAGATTGTCCTTTAAAAAAAAGTGGACATTAACACATTTTCCCCTTATTTTTCACTCCTATCAGGAGCAATTTGTGAGTAATGGTGCTAACAGGATCTTTTCATGATTTCCATCACTGCATCTCTCCTGTAAATCCTAAAACAGGCTGGAACAGCTCACATTATTTACAGACTTTAATAATTTAGTATCTATATTGACACAAGAGCCTTTTTGCTCCTCATCTGCCTAAGGAGATGCTGTTTAAGATGCTACACCACAGAGCTGCTCCAGCACAGGTTCTCTCTCTTGAATAATAGTGTTTGTTTTTTGTTGTGTTTTGCTTTCCAAGCAGTTTTTCTTCTTTTGTTCTTGTTTCAGCTTCTGCTGCTTCGGGAAAACTTTGCTAAAAGAAAAGTTCCCAAAACTGTAACTTTTCTGTCTCTTTCCCAGGGGACATCGACTGCATCACCAGTCTGATCCACCATCACGTTCCCGAGGCAAAGCTCATTGAGACCATCGGACAGGAGTTGACCTATTTGCTCCCTAATAAAGGGTTCAAACATCGAGCTTATGCCAGCCTGTTTAGAGAGCTGGAGGAAACTCTTGCTGACATGGGTCTGAGCAGCTTTGGCATCTCTGATACATCCTTAGAGGAGGTAGGGAAATTGGCAGTAGAGGGTTAATTGCATAAATAAATGTGAATGCTTGACATTTACCATAAAATCCAGACTACTGAGCGAGCGTGGACTTCGCCTTAGCTCTCAGGTCCAGTCCCAAGGTGTTCAACAAAGTTTGCCACCTTGTAGGCGACAAAATCCTTTCAAAGTGATGTCTCAGTGCAGCTGAGATGCCTGCTGATGCTTTTTTGAAACATACCAAAGACTGATTTTGAAGCACATTAATGCCATCTGGTGGCCAGCATGTGAACTACCTCCAGTTTTAATTTTACAGTATTCGACTGAGTTTAACTTGCGTCATGGACCATTACATGTGCTGCGTTCAAATGAAAAACATCTCACATAAATTAGAATCCCTAAGCAGAAAAAACATCGTCATTTTACAAAATTGTCAATAGACTTAGGATGTAAGAAGTTAAGGTTTTGCCAAATTGTGCACCACCCCAATCCACCATCCATACACCTCCAAGTTATGGATGGTGGAATTAAAGGTTATAAATTCCTCAGAAATAAGGAATTTAGACAATCTCCAGCATCCATCAAAAGTAAAGCCCAACCTTTTAAAAGGATTAAAAAAAAAAAAACAACTTAAAGTTTCCCTCTTAATTTCCAGTACTACTAAATACTGTCACAAACTGGACCAGAATCACCAAGATTGGATTTAATGCTTGTAAACAAAACCTCTCTAGAGACTTGTCATCACTTCACTTGAAAATTCAAGGCAGCAGGCAACCCAAGCCTCCAGAAAGCTTACACAACCCTCACACTGCCAACTAGCTGACTGGCAGCAAAACCAGCCCCCTTCCCAGCTTTATACTTTGCTCTTCAAGGTCAGAGGAGAATCATTTGTCCTTGTTAAGTCCTTGCTGGACTTAACAGTTTATTTTTTGTGTGTAAATTGTGCCGAATTTATCTCATTAAAAGAGGAAACATTTTTTAAATGGTCTAATTTGTTCAGGTTCTTAAATGAAAGAAACTTGTCCTTTCAAGTTTCACCATAGCTATAAATTTGACAGCAATTTGGGTAAATTTGTCTAAATTTGGTTTTTGTGATTATAATTCAACTCAACTCATTTTATTAGACCGACACCTTGAACTTATTTCCAGGGACTTGCTCATATGACCATCTCTTAGAAACCTTAAACAAATATCTTGGACTCTACTTTAGTTTCGCCACGAATTTCCTGCTTATCCACCTAAAGTAGCAGGAAGGTTGGCAACATTTTTACATATCATTGTAGATTTATATTTAAATACTTAATAAAATAACTGCCTGGAATGTTTTGAGAGTTAAAGGATGATCTTTTTCCCTTTCCAGATATTTCTAAAGGTCACAGCAGATGGAGAAGCAGCAAATAATGCCACCACTGCTGGTAAATGCCACCACTGATATTCTGCTTGACCTTTTCCTGGAATTAAATTCCTGACCCATTTGTCTGTTACTCCAACATGTTCTTAATCCTTCCACCACACCTGCATGTGTAATCGTGATGTAAACATGCAAACTGTGCAGGTGTGATCTAAACAGCAGCCACATCACTTTTGTAAAACGTGCATCTGTTATGTTTTCTAACCCTGTAGTTTGTGTTTGTTTGCCCCACCTCTAGAACAGTGGATGTTGCAGGGAAGACAAAATGGCAGCAAAGTTGGCGTAGGCCAAGAGGAAGGTCAGAGAAAGAGGAGCATTTGGACAGAGCTTCAATAAAAATGCAGTTACTCCCCTCTTCCTCCCGTAGAACCTGCTGGACCTGGGTTATGTAAATGCCATGTTTTATTATTGGTACAATCTTGCATTTCTAATTTGAGGGAATTCCTAAATAGGACTTCCATTAAATGGAGTGATTTTAAAAACAAATTTTCCACAAAACAACCCAGTTCTAAGGGGTTCAGTTAGCAGCTGCTGTTCATTACATGCTCTTTCTTTTCCTGCTGCATAAGCTTTCAAAACTTAGCAAAGCATTTTATTCTATAGATGAAGAAATAAAGATCAGAATTTAAGCTGACCTGGTGTCAAAAGTTGCCTGACCGAAAACGTGTTTTTTTTTTTGTTTTTTTTTGTTATACTAATACTCATCTTTTGTTTTCTTGTTTATAATAGAGAATAACGGTGTAAATGGGATTACCTCTGACAACAGTGCAGGGAAGGGATCCAGACAGGTGAAGGGATTTTCACTGATCCTGAAGCATTTCTACGCGTTGCTGGTGAAGAGATTCCATCACGCTATGAGAAGCAGAAAAGACTTCCTGGCACAGGTACTGCTGGGCGAAGCGAACACGGAGATCCACTGATAAAAATGGCTGTTGCTTTTCTGAGTTTCAAATTATTTTAGCATACATAATCTGCATCCAGAAGGAGGGGAAAAACCTTGGGGAAGACATTGATATCTCTAATTACTAATGCCCAATAGATTCTGATCCTTATTTAAACATGTAACTGTGCTTTCAGATTGTGCTTCCCGCCACTTTCGTCCTCATTTCTCTGATCTTCACGCTGATTGTCCCTCCATTTGGAGAATATCCCAGCCTAACTCTGACGCCCTGGATGTACGGACAGCAGTTCACCTTCTTCAGGTCAGACAATAACGCAAAAATATTGTGAAGTGTTTTACCAAAGTATTCATTCGCTTGTAACTTTTTTTTTTTCTTTTACATTTTGTCAAGTTACAACCATAAACTTCAGTTCCAGGCTTTTAGGATTTTATTTGGTAAACCGACACTGGGCAGTGAATCGTTCTGACGTGAAAGGATAACAATACATGATTTTCAAAATCATTTGCGAATAAAAATCTGGAAGTATAGCCTGCATTTACATCCAACATCCCTGTGTCAATACTTAGAAGAATCTAATTTAGCAGTTGCAATTACATCTGCAAGTCATTTTGGGACGTGTCTCTATGAGGTTTGGACTTTGTGGTTTTTGTTCTCCAGGAGGACCAAAGGTTCAGTTTTGGTGTCATTTTATTAAAGCATCTTCTTCCAGATGTTATCTGTGTTCCTTACATAACTTGTAACAGATTGCAAACAGGATTTCTGA